GGTAGTAAGTAGTCCAACCCTAATATGCATTGGTCTTCAATGTCAGCCAAGTATACTTTGTGTCTGTTCTTCATGGCCATGAGCTCAATAGTTACCCACAATAGTTACTGTTACTCCTTTGTGATATAGTTGTGCCTCTCGTCTGTTGACAACCGTCCAAGTATTTCCAGTGGTTGTCCCTTCAAGCTTGTTGCCAGGTGCACTGCTTTCTGCTCCTCTGCCCATCCATTCATTTCTGCCAGGAGCTCATATTGTGCTCTCTGTGCTTTCCATGGTGCTTTCCAGTTGAATTCCTGTGGCTTCCTTCGTACAAGATCACCCCTATTACTGACACTCATGTCTGGAATGTGACTTCTGGCAGGACTGAAGATGTCTGCATTAAGGTTTAGCTGCGGGGTCTGGAAAGGGCTTCCTATTGTCTGGGGCTAACTGGGTCCATGACTAATGTATCCTCGTTGTGTAAAAGACAGTAAATCATCATTTAATTTATCTAATTTACTTTGAAATTTACTAATATTTTCCATTTGTGTATGCTGGCCTTCTCTCAACTGTTGAAGACTTTCTTCCTGTTTCTTTTCTTGTTCAAGTTGCTGATGCTGGTTTTCTTGCCACTGCTGTAGTCTCTCTTCTTGTTTATTTTCTTTCTTCTCCAATCACTGCTGTAGCTTCTCTACTTGTTTCTTTTCTTTCTCCTCCAACCACTGCTGCAATCTCTTGTCTTGTTACTTTTCTTTTTCCTCCTCCAACAGCTGCTGTAATTTCTCTTGTTTATTTTGCTGATCGAGCTGCAACTGCTGTTGTCTCTCTTCTTATTTCTTTTCTTGTTTATTTTCTCCTTCTTCTTGTTTCTTTTGCTGTTCCTGTATTGCTGCCATCAAATCTGCTAAGCTGTAATTTGATTTGCTACTTCTCGTTTCCATCTTTTTTTTTTCTTAGTCCTGCTCTCTGACATCAGTTTGTTACATATCTGCTTCTTTTTTAATTTCCGGTAGAAACTATTTCCAAAGAACTTCAGTGATACAAGTCCTTCCTTGATTAAACCAATTTATTATTTCTTGATACAAACTTTTAGTACAAAGAAGTTTCACAATCAGTACCTTTCTCGTCACTTTAAACTTGCCAACTTTTATAATACACGCTATAAATCATAGCGATTCACAATCTCGATAACCTCGCTCTCGACTAGTACAAAACAGACACTTTATATTACCGTAACTACTGTTCGCTTCTTTAGTTATCTATCTATCGCTGGTTTCTCTGCCAGGCTTATATACTAACAAAGGAGGCGTCTCGAATGCATTCGGGCTTCCCCGATCATTCATGATCATTCGAAAATTTTCATGCACGCTATCAGCGCTAAAAGCACCAGCATCGTCACGTGACTTCCGCTGTTGTAACATTAACATAGAAATAAGAACTAATCAGTGAATGAATATGAAAATGAAACATAGAAATAAGAACTAATCGGTAAATGAATGTGAAAATGAGACATAGAAATAAGAACTAATCACTGAATGAATGTAAAAATGAAACATAGAAATTAGAACTAATCAGTGAATGAATGTAAAAATGAAACATAGAAATAAGAACTAATCAGTGAATAAATAATTGATTACTGAAAGTAAGAACTAATCGTTGAATGTAAGAGCTAATCAGTGAATAACTAACTGATTACTGAAAGTAAGAACTAATCAGTGAATAAATAATTGATTACTGAAAGTAAGAACTAATCGTTGAATGTAAGAACTAATCAGTGAATAACTAACTGATTACTGAAAGTAAGAACTAATCAGTGAATGAATAATTGATTACTGAAAGTAAGAACTAATCGTTGAAAGTAAGAACTAATCACTGAATGTAAGAACTGAACACTGAACGTAAGAACTAATCAATGAATGTAAGAACTAATCAATCAATGTAAGAACTAATCACTGAATGTAAGAACTAAATACTGAACGTAAGAACTAAATACAAAACGTAAGAACTAAATACAGAACGTAAGAACTAATCAATCAATGTAAGAACTAAATACAAAACGTAAGAACTAAATACAGAACGTAAGAACTAATCAATCAATGTAAGAACTAATCACTGAATGTAAGAATTAATCACTGAATGTAAGAACTAAATACTGAACGTAAGAACTAAATACAGAACGTAAGAACTAATCAGTCAATGTAAGAACTAATCAATCAATGTAATTTGTTATTCTATAATTCATGAGGGTGACCTACATTGTTATTCTATAATTCATGAGGGTGACCTACATTGTTACACTATAGATCTGGAAGTTGATCCACATTGTTACTCTATAATTCATGAGGGTGACCTACATTGTTACTCTATAGATCTGGAAGTTTACCTACATTGTAATTCTATAATTCATGAGGGTGACTTACATTGTTATTCTATAATTCGTGAGGAGGACCTACATTGTCACTCTATAGATCTGGAAGTTTACCTACATTGTAATTCTATAATTCATGAGGGTGACTTACATTGTTATTCTATAATTCATGAGGGTGACCTACATTGTTACACTATAGATCTGGAAGTTGATCCACATTGTTACTCTATAATTCATGAGGGTGACCACATTGTTACTCTATAGTTGATAAGGGGACTTACATTCTTAATCTATAATTCATGTGGGTGACTTACATTGTTACTCTGTAGTTGAGGAGCGTGACTTACATTGTTTTTCCATAACTTATGAGCGTGACTTACATTGTTGCACTAGTCATGAGCGTGATTTACATTGTTACACTATAGTAATGAGTGTGACTACATTGTTGTTCTATAACTCATGAGCGTGACTTACATTGTTACACTATAGTCATGAGCGTGATTCACGTTGTAACACAATAGTCATGAGTGTGAATACATTGTTACTCTATTGTTCTGGAGTGTGAATTACTTTGTTACTCTGAGTTACATTATTTATATTTCTCACTGAAAATATTTCAAATAACAAACTTTCAGGTTATTTTTGTAATATCTAGTGGCATTTTTGGTAAATATATTGGACGTCAATCGTTAAGTTAACTAGACAAAAACAACTACGCTGGGAATTGGTTAGTAAATAAAGTTATAAACTATTGTATAATATCTAAGGGATTTCCCGTTAGAATAAACAAATGGTACGAAATTTCGAGAAAAAATGTCATGTGCAGTTACAGTTGTACTTCTTAGAAGAGACATTCATCCGTTTAAACCGTCACAACTTCCTTGTTTTCTTCACTCCGTCAACAAGACTGGTATATATATATATAAAGGCTCAATTAGACATAGCAATCAAAGCATCCTAAAGTACTTACGGGAAGAAATATCAGTATCAGTAGTATCTGGACAAGTATGATCTCGGTTTAAATCTAAGTTACCATTCATTTCTTAAAAATAAATCATCGTTAAATTTATAAACATTAGAGTAGCTTCTTTCAGGTACAGTTTATGACTTAATATGTTATATCTTGTTTTACAGAAAAACAATGAAAGGAAACATCGGCGTTGCTCTGTTCTACGTGTTATTACTTCTACTACCGACGAACAGTATTGGGAAGAAGCTGGAAGAAGATGAAACGAAACTCTTCAGAAAAGTACGTTGATAAGTCACATTGGATACGATAGATGTTTCTCAGGTTAAGAGTACGTTGATAAGTCACATTAGATACGATAGATGTTTCTTAGGTTAAGAGTACGTTGATAATTCACATTAGATACGATAGATGTTTCTCAGGTTAAGAGTACGTTGATAAGTCACATTAGATACGATGGATGTTTCTCAAGTTAAAAGTACGTTGATAAGTCACATTAGATACGATAGATGTTTCTCAGGTTAATAGTACGTTGATAAGTCACATTAGATACGATGGATGTTTCTCAGGTTAAGAGTACATTGATAAGTCACATTAGATACGATGGATGTTTCTCGGGTTAAGAATACCTTAATAAGACACATTAGATACGATGGATGTTTCTCAGGTTAAGAGTACGTTGATAAGTCACATTAGATACGATAGATGTTTCTCAGGTTAAGAGTACGTTGATAAGTCACATTAGATACGATGGATGTTTCTCAGGTTGAGAGTACGTTGATAAGATACATTAGATATACTGGATGTTTCTCAGGTTGAGAGTACGTTGATAAGACACATTAGATATACTGGATGTTTCTCAGGTTAAGAGTACGTTGATAAAACACATTAGATATACTGGATGTTATTTTTATTGTACTGGTCTTTGTTACCTCTCACGCTCTTATTTTTATATTTCTGTGAATATGTCGGTTTATTATATATAAGATAATTAATATGGTTGTCAACATGGTTGTTTACTATATATAAGATAATTATTATGGTTGTTAACATGGTTGTTTATTATATATATAAGATAGTTATTATGGTTGTTAACATGGTTGTTTACTATATACAAGATAATTATTATGGTTGTTAACATGGTTGTTTACTATATATAAGATAATTATTATGGTTGTTAAAGTTCATTTTTGTTTATTTTGAAGATTTTTTGATTTTTTGCTAGAAACGAAATCCGCTTATTCCAGCAGTTTACCTTGGAGCGACTGTTGGACCAGCCGTGTGGGCAAGTCTGGTCGCTTTAGTTGGTGCCACTGCCGTTGCTGCCGCAAATATACATCGAGCGTGTATCCTTTATATGCCGTTCCGCACTCAAAATAACATGTTTTACTGCCCTTCGCAGAAATAAGTTTCTTGTATGTTTTTGTTTTAATACTTTTCCAATGAAGGGCAGCAAGTTATATATTTGACCAATACAAATCTTAATGTAGAACTGTGATTTACACGTTTTTCTCGTTGGTGAGTTCTTAACTAAGGAAAGCTTCTGATAATCATTCCTGTGCTGGCACCAGAGGTTGGTGTAGATCAAGTTGTTT